ATTTTCACCTTTCTTTCAGAAAAGGAGAAAAGCAGTACCAGAACAAGGTGAAAGGAGAGGCTAGGACCCAAAGTGTCATACTCATGACTAAATAAAAATGTTTTTGTTGCTTTGAATGGTAAAATATTCCTTGAAATGCAAGCTCTATATGAGTTTGTTTTGACTTTGTAGAACTCTTTTTTCTCTATGTGCATTGCAGTACAGCTAACTTAAATGTGTGACAACATAAGGAAGGGTGACTTCTCAACCATCATGTATTAGATGATTGCTGAAAGCAAAGTAAATTAATGGCCTGACTGGGTCTGGCACGTGTTAGCTTCCTGTTTCACTTTCCCTGCACAAAAAGATAAGAGGAATGCAGGCCTTTCTCTTTATCTCACCCAATAATAATGCACCTCAGCAAAGATTTGAATGGGCCACAGGATTATTAGGATTGTGATGTCTTGCTTTCCTTTTCAAGTAGGATGAAACTAAATGTAATCATCTGTTGGGTTAGATGAACACAATGGGTTCTCAGCTGTAGGCTTTCATCACAACGTTGATCTTGTATGATTTGGCCTGGCAGATCTCCAGGCTAACAAAAATTTTGTAGGTGTCAGATGTTTGGCATTCAGAACAGCACGGAGAACCATTGTCATACTTGGGTCTCCCTGCTTTCTCGTCTTTCAATTTTAAAATACTGTCACCATTTAAAGCATGTTCTATTTAGAGGAGCCTAATGAAAAGCTGCTTGGCTAAGTCCCGTTTCAGTTATGTGAGCTTGAATGCTAGTCTGCTCAAAAGCTGTTGTGTACATTCTGGCAGGATCATGGTGCAGTCTAGCAGGACGTTTGCTCAGCTCCAGAGCTGGGCTTTTATCATCTTGGTATTTTCTAGGAGCAAACTGTCAGTGTGGCATGTCTGCTGCCTTCACTATGACTATTTTGCCAAGTTCATTTCTGAAAAAGAAGACAAGACTAAGCTCTGAAGCTCAACTGGGCAGTTTATTTCCTAAACAGCATTTGGAGCAGTCACTGCAGCCATGCTTATTGTGCTCTGATCAGCTGCTTTTTGTAAATTTTCAGTCACAGTGTCCTATATGCTATAGCCCTTTCGTTTCCTTATCTCTAATGCTCTGTTACAGGCTGTCCTACCAGAGAAATGATGATGATGAGGAGGAAGCCGCCAGAGAACGTCGCCGACGGGCTCGACAGGAGAGACTCCGGCAAAAGGAGGAAGGAGATCTATCAGGAGAAGTAACAGAGAAATCAGAAGTTAATGCCCAAAACAGGTGAACATCTGATGTTTATGTCAACAGGAATTTTTGCTCAGAGTAGAGAAGTCATCTTGAAGACATCTGTTTAGCTACTTAAAATTGAAGTACTAGGTTTAGCCGTCCTCTGAAGAGGACCTAACACTGTGAGGATTTATTCGATTTCACATAGTCACAACTGAAATATCCATATTTCCAGTAGCCATAGCACAACTGTTAGAATAAAACAGAAATATACCTTATAATATCAAGCTTATAGCTGCTGAACACAAGTAACATTCTGTTAAGGACAAAGAGGCTGACTAAAAATAGGGAAGCAGCAACATTCTTGATAGGAGATTGTAATCTTCTCAATGGGGAGGGGTGAGGGGGTGGGTGGAAACTGGGAATAGGGAAGAAATCTGCACATAGGAGAATTTTTAAGGAGTCAAAAAACCTCTAGGGACTGAGGCCAAGATCCAGTCCTGATATCTTCAGGTGTTGAATAGCATGTCTGAAATGAAGTACTCTGTTCACTGCATTTTCTAGCAGGTTATTTTCCCTGTACAGACAATCACAACCTCACTGCACCCATAATTGCCAGGCTGTCCCATTATGAACTGTATCTATGGAGGATATTGCAGAAAAGGAGGTTTCTTGTTGCTGGAGAAGTTTGCTGAAGTCAGAAAGTATCTTGCTTATTTAGCATCTTCAAAAAATCTGCCTAGTGGGAAGACTGCATATGCCTCGAGCCAAGCTGAAGAGGGTCTTAAGGCAAGCTAAGGTTTTCCAAGTATTCTGCTGCAGTTTGCAGAGGGAGAGGATTAATTTTTCAAGGCTGTTCATATTTCAGCTGCTGCAAGTGTCAGGGACTGTTCCAGCTCCTACTGAGGTCAGTAAGACTCCTGGGATCTTCAGTGGCTGTTGGAGATTGTCTAGAAGGGAACTTTTCCATCCTCTGACATTGTGAAACACAACATTCCTATACATCTAGAAATGCCAAAATTTAATCTCTGGAACCGTTTTGCTAAATTTTGAAGTATTCAACCTGTTGTGTCTTGAAACCATGGAATGATGTTACAGCAAGGTTGTTGGGTTTTTTTCTTGAAACAGCTAAGTGCATACATTATTAGAAAGGTTTTATTTTAATGTAAATTTATGACTTCTATACAGTGTGGCAGAAGAGGAAACCAAGCGCACTACAACCACAGGGGGAACAGATGATGAAGCTGCATTGTTGGAGAGACTGGCAAGACGGGAGGAGAGACGCCAAAAACGTCTACAGGAAGCCCTGGAACGTCAAAAGGAATTCGACCCCACTATCACAGATGGGAGCTTGTCACTGCCCAGCAGGAGAGAAGTAAACAATGTGGAAGTAAATGAGACCACGGGGAAAGAAGAAAAGGCTGAATCACGCCGAGGACGCTACGAGATTGAGGAAACGGAAACGGTTACCAAATCATACCAAAGGAACAACTGGAGGCAAGATGGGGAAGAAGAGGAAAAAAAAGAAGACAAGGAGGAGAAGCCAAAAGAAGTCCCCATAGAGGAAAATCAGGTAGATGTGACAGCAGAAAAATCCACAGATGAGGCTGTAGAAACAAAAAATCTAGCTATAAATGCAGAGGAACACAAAGCAGAGAATGATACACATGCTGTGCTGGAAGGGGAGCAGAGTGTAACTGATGCTGTAGATAAAGATAAACTTAGGGAAGCGGAAAAGGCTGAGGAAGAAAGGAAGAAAGCAGAAGAAAGGGAGAAACTTGAGGCAGAAGAAAGGGAGAGGTTAAAAGCAGAGGAAGAAAAGAAAGCAGCTGAAGAAAAACAGAAAGCAGAGGAAGAAAAGAGGGCAGCTGAGGAAAGAGAGAGGGCTAAAGCAGAAGAAGAGAAGAGGGCAGCTGAGGAAAGAGAGAGGGCTAAGGCAGAAGAGGAAAAGAGGGCAGCTGAGGAAAGAGAAAGGGCTAAGGCAGAAGAGGAAAAGAGGGCAGCTGAGGAAAGAGAAAGGGCTAAGGCAGAAGAGGAAAAGAGGGCAGCTGAAGAAAAGGCTAAGCTAGAAGCAGAGAAATTGAAAGAAAAACAAAAGATGGAAGAAAAGAAAATAGAAGATATACAGGTAAAAGAGAAGAAAGTACAAGAGGAAAAACCTCAAGCAGCTTTCCTAAGAAAACAGGTACAGTAAACATTTCGCACCAAAATGCACCTGTGATTTCTGAGAAATGTAATGCAAGAAAAAAAAAAAAAAGAGATTGAATTGGAATTTCTTCACAAATCTATTCCTGCATGGAAATGACTAATACTCATGCCTCTGTCTGGCTTACTCTTTAAAAAAAAATAAAAATCAAACTTCTTACTTCTGCTTACCAATAATGCAGTGCACAACATGCCTGACCTCACTCCATTGCATGTTCAAACCTCAGTGTTTTTTCACTGCCTTTTTTCTCAGCTGCTGTAAACTGGCCTAACACAGTAACACATGAGGTGGAGGCAGACACATCTTGGCACAAAATATTATGAGCACCTTGTAAACTGTGTGAGGAACGTGTGTGTTAAATGCACAAACGAGAGCTCTTTGCTGGGACATGTGAGCATGATGCCACGCAAGCGAGAAAAGCTGAGAAGGGGGAACGTGGAAGCATTTGGAGAGGGTGGAGGGAGCACAACTGCACACAGAGTTGTGGGCACAGCAGCATATGATGAAGATGTGACTGCACACAGGATTGGTACATGAACACAGAAAATAAAAAGTGCAAACAGATGCAATGTTTTCATATTAAATAAATTTATTAAAAACCCAAAAACAAAGGGGGAAGAAAAAGAGGTTAAAGTGGAAGCTAAAAAGGAAAAGTTACCAGATGAGAAGCTCCAACCTACCTCCAAAAAAGATCAGGTAACTTGTAAACCATTGATCTAGATGTTGTAGGGGAACTTGAGATAAGAAAATAAGTGAGAGACCTATAACTGAAAGTTGCTTGTTCAGCAAAGTACTTATGTGCTTCACTTTAA